CTTGTGGGATCCACAGGTGTGACTACTCGGTGCTTCAAGCGATCACAACACCCTACATGAGAATAACGTAAGACGACTTTGTTTTTTTCAACTCCACTGACTTCTCTAAAACATGCAGAGATGGAAGTACATTGCAACGACGCAACGAAACCGACGTAAGCCCCCTTGCTCCTCTTGACTTGTTGCAGAAACTAGCACAAACTTTCCTCCGTCCTTTCTCGTGTTTTACTCTCTCATTTCTCCAGGTTGAACTGAATTGCCGGGCCATATGTATATATGCGCTCAATTTTGGCCCTTCGTTGTCGGTTAAGCATTTGCAGCATGGTTTTATGATGTACAGGTGATGCAATCCATTGGTTTTCTTGGCAACTTAGCCATGTCCATTCGCCTTCTCTGTTCCCATGTAAAATCCTCTCCATATCTCGCTTTAAGTGGAAGTTTGGTTTGATATTTGGTCTCTTGCAGGGTTGGATGCTTTCTCGCAGTCAGGATTGTATTCCAAGCATCAAGATATTGGCCCTTGCTATGTGGTAAGCAATTAGTCTGGCATATCATACTTCTGGTCGGAATTGATACTGAGCTTGTAACAGGGAGTACTCCCTAATACGGCGGGAGTTCTTGCTGGTGTCGGAACTGCTGCAACAGCTTTTCGTCTTGGTAAGGGTTCCTACTTTTCGTTCCTCTGTTTTAAGCTATTTTTGTTCTCACTGATCTCCAGGAGCAACACATTCAACAAGCAGTGGATCAACCAGACAAGAGCAGCATGAAGGCAGCCACACCCGAGCAAGCAGTGATCCAGCTCCATCAATAACAGTGGTGCAGCAATTTAGCTTTAGCAAGCAGCAATCTAGCACCATCAATAATAGTGGTGTAGCGATCTAACTCCAGCAAGCAGTGCATAATTACCGACAAACGCATTTAGAAATTTAGCATTTGCAAACGCTGCGTTTGTGCTCGCCTTTGTCGGCCGTTTGCGTTAGTTACTAAAATCTTTAACTAAGTTAAAGAATATTTTTTTCTTTTACCCTTTCGCTGTTCTTGAGCTGAGCGAGCAATGCTGAAGAGAGAAGAAGAGCTGTGGAGAAGGATTGGGGTAAGGACACCATCCTCGGAAGCATATGATAATGCTCAGCATTGTTGGATTTGTAAGCATTGGAACAAAGAGTATGGAGGGTCTTTGAAGCGTTGCCAGGCACATTTGGGGTGAATCCCAGGTCACCAAATTGCTTTGTGTGATGAGAACCAGGAAGTTTTTTGGAAAACTTATCCAGAAGATAACTTGAGAAGAACTTGGTGATAAAGAGCAACTGGAACTAACACCCAAATACCACCTACTACAAGATCAAACACCCAAATGTCACATAGGGACATAGGGAGTGGAGGCAGTGGAGCATTTATGGGGCAATCTTCTCAAGGAAGCTCTATATACTTAATTGGAAATGCAACTCTTGATGGCCATTTGCCTAAACATGCAACTTGTCACAAATGCTGAGTTGGGGCATCTGGGATGCAGAACTCAAATGACTCTCAAACAGTCTTTTGAAAATTAATATCACCGAAATGTAAATGAGACTGTGAGGAGGTTCATTTATGCTCATGCTCTTCCCTTTAACATCATTTGTTCACCTTTAGGGAAGACATGGTGGATGCTTTACTTGTTTCTGGAAAGGGATATAAAGCCACTATGATCAAATATGAAGAATTTTGTGTTTAACATTTGAATGAAGAATGTAAAAGTTTGAGGGAGAGGATGTAGCTAATCAAAGAAGGATGGAAACATTATGGTTGTAGTATCATCTCGGATGGGTGGCAATGCAGCAGGAAAAGGTAGATTATCAACTTCTTTGTCAAGGTTGCATGTTCTTAAAATCTGTGGATGCATTAGATGCGATCAAAACTAGTTTATATCTCTATGAGTAATTACAGCCAGTGATTCTAGAAGTTGGACCCAAGAATATTGTCTAACTAGTCAACTAGTCTTCCTATTGCATGGATGGAAATGCAGCAGAAAGAGGTTGATTACCAACTTCTTGGCTGTGGATGCATTAGATGCAATCAAGAGTGGTTTATATCTCAATGAGCAGTTATGGCTAGTAATTCTAGAAGTTGGACCCAAGAATGTTGTCCAACTGGTTACAGATAATGCAGCTATTTGCATGAGCATGGCCAACTTATGATGGAGGAGTTCCCTCACATCATACATGGTTGTTGTGTTTCCCATGTTCTTGATTTGTTATGCAAAGATATTAACAAACTTGAATGGGCACAACCATTGATTAGTGGATGTGAAAAATTGGTTACCTTCTTCACAAAGAAACCAAAGCTTCTAACTGCTCTCTAGAAGATTACACCATGGGATCTTATGAAGCCAACAATAATACAATTTACTTATAGCTACTTGGTTATAAGCCAATTTGTGGATGAGAAAATGCTGCAAGCTATTCAGCAATTTATTGTCAGTGATGTTTGGCTTGATATGTAGAGCTGTATCTGGAGCAGACAAAGTGGAAGCTTTAGTGAAGAACAATGAGTTTTGGATGCAGTGTTCTGAGCTTCTTGTGATCATGGCCCCAATTCAAAAGCTGTTAAAAATAATTGATAGAGATGGCATAGGGATGGGCATCATCTTTGAAACTATGGATCAAATACAAGAGAGCTTGCAGAAATTAATTGATGATGATGTGGTGGACAAGCAGAGAATTGAAGCAGTTAAAGCATTCATATATAGTAATGATCAGTCTAGTCCAAACTATTGGCTTATGATGCACAATTGTCTACAAAGTGTGGGCCATTGTTTACATCCATTGTTTATGGACATGGAAGAGGATGTCGAAGCTCACAATGATACCCATGCATACTTTGAACAGATTTCAAAGGGGGATTTGAAGCTTGATGAAAAGTTAATGCTTCAATTTCATGATTTCAAGAAAAATTGACCTACAGAGATGAGACTTAATCTAGAGTATGGATCTCAACTCCCTAACCTGCAAAAGGTGGCTATACGAGTGCTCAGCCAATGCATTTCAGTTTCTGATGTTGAAAGAAATTGGAGCACTTGGAGCATTGTCCAGTCTAAGAGAAGAGCTCAATTGCTAGCTGTGAATATAGAAAAGTTAGTGTATTGTTACACTAACTTGAAGCTAGTCCAACTCATAGAATTGGGAGAAGCTAAGAACTTTTTTAGGCGATAGATGAAAGTGCTGTGGAAGATGAAGTTAACAATGATGATCTGGGACATTCGAATATTTAAAAGATGCTTTTAGAAGCTTTTACATTTCTTTATGGAGCAAAATTCGACAACTTGGGTTTATGCATTTGGGATGTTTGTGAGTTTGCTTGGTAAGTATGAAGCAGTGATCCAGCTCAGCAAGCAACGATCCAACTTGATCCAACTCAATTTAGTAACACAGCAGCAAGTAATGATCCAGCTCCATCCAGCAGTGCAGCAGTGCGGCCATGAGTAAGAAGCAATCCAGCTCCATGATGCTATCCCAGTGTTTGTAACTGAGCAATGGTTTAGATATCAATTCAACTAAAAATCAAGATTTATTGCTGATGTGGCAGTCTATTTTCCATATATGCAGTGATCTTGGTACCACCTGAAAATCAAACATGCCAATGTTAAATCACTTATTACAAATCATACATTGTGAAACTATTGTAGTCTCATATTCATGATTCACATGGTAAAATTAATTATAATTGAATCTCTTATGAATTTTTTTTAAAAGAATTTACAAATGTTTCATTTGAATTTCATTGATCATGAAATTCAGTTTTTCTGTAATGCGCATGCTCACCACCCTCACTCATTCATGCCACTGACGAGGATATGCTCTAGGATGTTTGCATCGCTGTGTAAGCCCATGGCAGCAGTGGTGGCCAAGGACTTGAAGTGGGGGGTCTTTTCTAGTTACAAAAGAGGTAACCTCAAGCTCAAAATAGTTTCCACAACTAATGGTGCATGGAAAAAATCATGTACTACACAGGGGCAGTGCTCTACAAAGAAGCAAACCATCGAAACTGTTGCGATCCTGTGGAACGTGTTGGTAAACTTTTCTTCTGTTTGAAGATGTGAAAAGTGCTGTAAAAAACACTCACTTCCAGATCAACATTGCAGTGCCGGTGGCCGTGGAGTTTCCTAGGTTGCCATATACCCGGCCTGGGGAATATATAGGGCTGACGGTAAGTTCAAGCATCCAAAAGGCGGGGGTTTGACAACGTCCCAAGGCATGTTCTATCCAAGACAAGGGATCAACAGCAGGAAGAGCTGGAAAATGCGATCCAGATCGTTGCTACCGCGGTGCATGATACCGTCGTCGACGACGAATAGACTTCCGCCATCACCTCTCACAAGATCGCCTCGTCTTATATCGCAGCAGGGCTTCGTATCGACGTCCTGGGCAAAGTTCTCAACTATGACACGGCCACTGCGACCTTCGAGAACGGCGTCTGTGCCGAGTTCTTCGAATCCAAGTTCCACTCGCTGCTGCTGCATGCTGCATTGTTGCTTCATGCGGTCTGTGACGAAGAACAAAAAAGGCTCGTTCGAACTGGAAGTCCTTTCTCAAGGCTACGAGCTGAAGCTTTCTCGAGAGTGTGGACCTTACCAGAGACATTGCACCGGAAGAGCTTGATCGCACAGTCAAGCCGAAGGATGCAGCGACGTGAGCATTTGATCTGCGGGAGCAGAGCTTTCCCGCTGATGGCGTCCGATAAGAGAAGCTGCGAATGTGGCCAACGTCCCGGGTGTATAAAGGTGGAAGCTTGAAGCTTGTGTTCGCTGTCTCAGTCTTTAGATTCGACGAGTTCACAGTCACTAAGAGGGACAAGATCATGGACGATCATGTCGATATCGACGTGAAGAAGGCCTGCTGCTATTTGGGAGGAAGAAACAAGTTGTTTCACTGCCCTCATAACTTTTAGATCTTCCAGCAAAGTACTAGCACTCCACAAGCTATCCAGTGAATGATTCTCGCCACCTTTGGAATGAAAAGGAGATGGAAGCGAGAGAGCTCGTGTCGATGATCCGGAATGGCGGCTTGCAGGAAGCCCACGCAAGGATCCAATCCCATCCCCATTGCGCAGGCACTTACCTGTGGAATGTGACGCTCACGGAGCTCGCCAAGAGTGGCCGCCTGATGGAGGCCAAGAGCTTCTTTGACAATGCGATGCCGATCCACGATACCATCTCGTGGAATGTGATGGTGGTGGGATTTGCCCGGAATGGGCATCTTGCGGACGCCGAGAGAGCCCACCGCGAGATGCCACAACCGAGCCTTGTGTCGTCCACGGCAATGATCGTTGCCTACGCGGAGAATTTTCGATTGCAAGACGCTAAGGAGCTCTTCGATCGACTGCCGGTGCTGGATCTAATCGCCTGGAACGCGCTCCTAGCAGCACTTGCCCGGGCATGGGATTTCGTGGGCTCGCAGAGGGTGTTTCGATCGATACCCGAGCTGGATCTCGTGTCCTGGACGACGATGGTGGTCTTGTTCGCGAGATCTGACAAGGCGGCGGTGGCGAAAGAGCTCTTCTCCCGGATGCCCGAGCGGAATCTCGTCGCGTACAATGCGATGCTGTCGATAAGCGCGGAGAGAGGCGATCTGGAAGGAGCTTGGTCGATCTTTGCCACGATGCCGGAGAGGAATTTGGTGTCATGGACGAGCCTGATGGGTTCCTGTGCGGAGGCCGGGGACCTCGATCGCGCAAATGCCCTGTTCCACGAGATGCCCGAGAGAAATCTCGTCTCCTGGACAGCGATCCTCAACGCCCACCAGGGAAACCTCGATGCGATGGAGGAGATCTTCGCCCAGATGCCTGCGAGGAATCTAGTTTCCTGGACCGCGATGATCAGCGCCTACTCCCAGGCCGGGAAGATCGAGAGAGCCAAGAATCTCTTCGAGCGACTGGAGGAGAGAGACCTCGCCTGCTGCAACGCGATGCTGTCCGGCTACTCGCGCGGCGGCGATCTCGCCGCGGCCGAGAATCTCCTGGCGAGAATGCCATCGCTGGACCTGATCTCCTGGACCCTTCTCCTCGCCGCGCTCTCCCAATCCGGCGCCCTGGAGAGGGCCAAGCGCTGCTTCGATGCCCTGCCGCAGCAAGACATCGCGACGCTCAACACGATGATCGCCGCGCTCGCGCAGTGCGGCCAGATCGACGCCGCCAAGAACACCTTCGACTCCATGCCCGAGCACAACGCAGTGTCGTGGACGGCCCTGATCACCGGACACACGTACGGCGGAGATCTCCCCTCGGCCAAGCACGCGTTCGATTCCATGCCCCAGCAAAATCCCACCGCCTGGAACGCCCTGCTCTTCGCGTATGCCCTCAACGGCCATCTCGCGTCCGCGCTGGACACCTTCCAGCGAATGCCCCACCAACGGACGCACGCCACGTGGGCAGCGCTGCTGACTGGATATGCCCACCACGGGCATAGCGCCCAGGTGGAGAGCTTGTTCCGCGAGATGGCGATGGTGGAGATGCCCTGCGAGGCCGCGATCACGGCGCTGCTCGTCTCCTACAGCCGCGCTGGGGATTTTCGATCGGGGGGGAGGCTACTGGCGACCATGGCGGGCGATTTCGAGATCCGGGCGAGCAAGCAGCACTACTGCTGCGTGATCGATCTGTTGGGTCGAGCCGGGCATCTGGATTCCGCGATGGAGCTTGTGAGAAGCATGCCGTTTCATCCCAGCCGGCACGACTGGACGTGTGTGATGGCAGCGTGTGGGAGGATCGAGTGCGAACCAGGCGATGGAGTCGTCATCCGGGTAGCCGCCAAGCGCTCGCTCGTGGAAGACGACCGACTCGAGATCGATCGAGACGTGGGGATGGGTCAGTGGAGTGGGGGTTACGTGTTGCTCGCGAATTCGTACATGCTATCCACAGTGAATCTAAAGGCTCAAACTTGATAGGCTTTTAGAACAGTTCCACTTTCACACTACAGTTCTCTGTGGGCCACACTAAAGTTCTTCTTTGCAACAGCGACATTCCCAAAGTCTACATTAAAATTCTCCAGCAGAGAAAACAAAGTGACTGTCCTAGACTGAACTTTCAAAGGGTAGCTAGCATACAGTGTCACTAAATATTATACGTAGTGATCTTCTGGAATGCGAGGAAAAACTTGAAAGAACAGTGTGGAAGAAGATCGAATCACTCGTTTGTAGAAAAAGGTGGCTGATAAGTTTGAAACGTATTACATAACTTTGGATTCTGACACGAAGAGTCGCGATTTAGACAGAAAGAGAGGAGCCAACATTCTAGATGTATAGGTAGTAGGGACACCACATGAAAAACCAACCAGTCACAAAAGTTGGCAGCTTATTGACAAGAGCTTCCAGTCCATGGAGCTTGTCGATATCAAGTCATCCCGATGAGCTCCCGGAGCTTCTGGAGGAGATGAGCATCGATCTGGAACGCCCTCTCGATGACATCGTCCAGGATGGGCGGGTCCGAATCAAACACGGCCTTGGCAACCTGGGAAACTCCGGGGTTCTGCGAGTTGAACCCGGCCACCGCCACCGCGGGCTCCTTGTCAATGTTGATCTGGAAGTGGATCAACCCGCGGGGGAAGACGAAGAGCTCGCCGGGATAGATGGTCTGCGCGAAGAGCTTGTTCTGCGGCGCGGTGGTGACGAAGCCCACGTAGAGCTTCCCCTCGACGAGGAAGAGGAGCTCGGTGCCCCGGGGGTGGACGTGCGGGGGATTGACACCGCCGGGAGCGTAGTCGAGGCGGGCAAACGAGACGCCCAGCGTGTTGAGCCCAGAGAAATTGCCAACGTTTGCAGCGGTGACGATGGCGCCGAGCTTGTTGTCGGTGTTGCCCGGGTTCTTGAGGACGCCCGACTTGAAGTCCTCGGCCACCACCGCGGCGAAGGGCTTGCACCCCACGCCATTGATCGTGGCGGACGTGTTGTCCGCGACGCAAACGTCCTGGAGCATGTCCTCGTCGGCAGCGAGGATTGGCGTGGGGGCGATCGTCATCGCGAGGAGAAACGCGAGGATGACCACCATGATCGACATTGGTGCCATGAATCCTAGAGAAACTATCACTCGACGAGCTTCTCTTTTTAACTCACTAGATGAGCTTGGGAGATGGAGGGTGTGGGTTTTAAAGAGGGTCTGGGACAATGACAGGGCAACCTCTTTGATGCGCGGAATATGCGAACGCTATGGCCTTGGAGTCCAATTAACACACGGCAGGGAAGAAGCATCTTGGCCGTCCACGTGAGATGTTGATCGACGGTTGAGGCGGGGTTATGGGTGTTGAAATAAGGAAGCCAAGGCTAGGGTTTGATATCTTTTGGGGCGAAGGCGGCGTTTTGGGGTAAGCGCTAGTGCTCTGTTTCTAGGAGATTTTCTTGTAGATCTGGTGTCACGGCGTTGCTAGGTCGTTTGTGGGGTGGATTTGTGCTCGGTTCTTAGGTTTTCTTGTAGATCTGGTGTTACAGGGTTGCTGGATAGGTTTTCTTGTAGATCTGGAAGTGAGGTCTTGTGCTTGTGCTCGGTTTGTAGATCTGGTGTTTGTCTTATTGTTTGATGTCTGGGTTGTGGGCTCAATTTCTAACTCGATCTCTTGGCTGTGTAGGTGATTCTCGTCAGCAGATATGCAGATATTCGTCAAGACCTTGACTGGCAAGACAATCACCTTGGAGGTGGAGAGCTCTGATACCATCGATAATGTGAAGACTAAGATCCAGGACAAGGAGGGAATTCCTCCTGACCAGCAGCGCCTCATCTTTGCGGGCAAGCAGCTCGAGGACGGTAGGACGTTGGCGGACTATAACATCCAGAAGGAGTCGACTCTCCACTTGGTGCTTCGTCTTCGTGGAGGGATGCAGATCTTCGTCAAGACGCTCACTGGGAAGACAATCACTCTCGAGGTGGAGAGCTCGGACACCATCGACAACGTCAAGACAAAGATCCAGGACAAGGAGGGGATCCCACCGGACCAGCAGCGTTTGATCTTTGCCGGGAAGCAGCTCGAGGACGGTCGGACCCTTGCGGATTACAACATCCAGAAGGAATCAACTCTTCACTTGGTGCTTCGTCTTCGTGGAGGGATGCAGATCTTCGTCAAGACTCTGACTGGCAAGACCATCACCCTTGAGGTGGAGAGCTCGGACACCATCGACAACGTCAAGACTAAGATCCAGGACAAGGAGGGTATCCCACCGGACCAGCAGCGTTTGATCTTTGCCGGCAAGCAGCTGGAGGATGGACGCACTTTGGCGGACTACAACATCCAGAAGGAGTCGACTCTCCACTTGGTGCTTCGTCTCCGTGGAGGGATGCAGATCTTCGTCAAGACCCTGACTGGCAAGACAATTACGCTTGAGGTGGAGAGCTCGGACACCATCGATAATGTCAAGACTAAGATCCAGGACAAGGAGGGCATCCCCCCGGACCAGCAGCGCTTGATCTTTGCTGGAAAGCAGCTCGAGGATGGACGAACTCTCGCGGACTACAACATCCAAAAGGAGTCGACACTCCACCTGGTTCTTCGTCTGCGTGGAGGGATGCAGATCTTCGTCAAGACCCTGACTGGCAAGACCATCACGCTTGAGGTGGAGAGCTCGGACACCATCGACAACGTCAAGACAAAGATCCAGGACAAGGAGGGGATCCCACCGGACCAGCAGCGTCTCATCTTTGCGGGGAAGCAGCTCGAGGATGGACGAACTCTCGCCGACTACAACATCCAGAAGGAATCGACGCTCCACTTGGTGCTCCGTCTACGTGGAGGGATGCAGATATTCGTCAAGACCCTGACTGGCAAGACCATCACGCTTGAGGTGGAGAGCTCGGACACCATCGACAACGTCAAGACAAAGATCCAGGACAAGGAGGGGATCCCACCGGACCAGCAGCGTCTCATCTTTGCGGGGAAGCAGCTCGAGGATGGACGAACTCTCGCCGACTACAACATCCAGAAGGAATCGACGCTCCACTTGGTGCTCCGTCTACGTGGAGGGATGCAGATATTCGTCAAGACCCTGACTGGCAAGACCATCACGCTTGAGGTGGAGAGCTCGGACACCATCGACAATGTCAAGACCAAGATCCAGGACAAGGAGGGGATCCCACCGGACCAGCAGCGTTTGATCTTTGCTGGCAAGCAGCTCGAGGACGGGAGGACATTGGCGGACTACAACATCCAGAAGGAGTCGACTCTCCACTTGGTGCTTCGTCTTCGTGGAGGGATGCAGATCTTCGTCAAGACCCTGACTGGCAAGACCATCACCCTTGAGGTGGAGAGCTCGGACACCATCGACAACGTCAAGACCAAGATCCAGGACAAGGAAGGAATCCCTCCGGACCAGCAGAGGCTGATCTTTGCCGGCAAGCAGCTCGAGGATGGACGCACTCTAGCCGACTACAACATCCAGAAGGAGTCGACGCTCCACCTGGTGCTTCGTCTTCGTGGAGGAATGCAGATCTTCGTCAAGACACTCACTGGGAAGACGATCACTCTGGAAGTTGAGAGCTCGGACACCATCGACAACGTGAAGACTAAGATCCAGGACAAGGAGGGCATCCCCCCGGACCAGCAGCGCCTCATCTTTGCGGGGAAGCAGCTCGAGGATGGTCGCACCCTGGCGGACTATAACATCCAGAAGGAGTCGACCCTCCACCTGGTTCTTCGTCTTCGTGGAGGCATGCTTGCCTGATCCAACGATAAGTTTCATGGCGATGGCAAAGCTTTCTCTTGTATCATGAAAATCTTATTCGAATAGAGGAAGCAATGTTATTACAAGTTTCTAAGATAGTGTGGTGGAGTTTCCGCGATCCATGATATACACTCGACATGGACCTGGACGCGTCCTTGTTGCACGAAGGATCTCCAAGGAAGTAGCCTTTGCGCACGCCATCGAAGATAAATCGAAAGCCACCGATTGCGAATGGAGAGAGCGAGGAGCATCGCCACCCGCGACACCGTGAGGCAATCCTCCTCCAAGATCATCAAGTAGCTCCCTGTTCCGAGGCTCAGCAAGAGAGCAAACAAAAGAGAGCAAAAGCTCCTCCTCCTCATTATCGTCATCGTTATCACTTCTCACGTGAAGAACATGAGCTCCTCTTATAAATTACCGAGAGAGAACGTTTGGTTCCTCGCGTTCCTATGTACACACCTGGGAGGAGCAGCGAGATCACTGCTCCGTCTCGAGAAACTGCCAGCTTCCGCCGCTCGAAGTCGTGCTCTTCTCGTGGCTGAGGGATGAGGTGGACAGAGCTGCTGCGAATTCGTCGTCGTTGTCCTGCGGAGCTAGATCGCTGATAAGCTCCGGCTGCCAGTTGAAGATACTGCCCGCTTGGCTTGCGCTGTGGAAGCTGTCGAGGACGAGGCCTTCCACTTTCTTCTTCAAGAGTTCCACGTCTTCGTGGAGGATGGAAATCTCGCCTCTGAGAGAAAAGAAAGCCTTAGCAACAGAAGCATAAGAACTAGGAGATAAGAGCTTACTGGAGCGAGTCTACAACAGTCCCTTGTTTCATGAGGAACTCCCTTAGCTGTGTGGGGCAGACAAGTTTAGTTTGCAAGGAAGGCGGAGTAAAGAAGACCAAGCGTACCTTTGTGCAGTTATCAGCCTCTAAGTCTAGTTCGATCGACTCTTGTGTGATTTGTGCCAAAATGTCCTCTTCTTTTTGCAGTAGCTCCCGCGCAGCGGCTTCCTTTCGCAGCCTTTCCTCGTCAGCAACACGTTCATCTTCTTTGGCCTTGGCGATACGGTCTTGCAGTGTGGCTTTCATCTGGAATGACGTGCGGATAAGAAAGCTCCAAAACCTTTACGTCTCTTACCTCTTCGAGAATATCGGAGGCCTTGAGCCACTCCGTCCGCACTTGCTGCACCCGAGAAAAGAGTTCTCTCGCTTCAGTTCCAAGCACTGCTTTCTCGCCGTAAACCTCTCCAGAGTGCTGTGATTCAGTGCGTTAGCATGGTATAGCATCTGTCGAGAAGAGCAACTTACCACTGCATTTGCTTCTCTAGCCTTGGCAACGGTCTTTCGAACTTCTTCGGCACTAGCATGTAAAGCTTCGACTCCCTCCAGGGCTTGAGCTTTCGCCGACCGAGCGGCAGCCTCGGCTTGCTCCGCAACTCTGCGTAGTTCTTTCATCTCTTGGATAGAAACCATCAAGTTTTGCTGCACGAAGAAACAGAAATCAAGCTTGAAATGGAAATTCTCTAGTCCCACCTTGTCAGTCTTGGTCTGCTCAATCATTTGCTCGATGGTCTCGCAATCCACTGCGTACATGGAGCTGGAAGCGCTCTTCCACACCCCCGGATCATCGGAAGAGACGGGCTCAGCGTTTTCGTCAACATTGTCGGTGTCAACAATGTCGGTGTCGGTGGAATCCATGGCTGGAGCCTCGGAGAATTCTCGATAATCTAAAATCTGCGTGGACTCAATCGACCGACGCGCCTTCCAGTCCAGGACCTCACCCTCTATGAAATCGATGCCGGCTTGGAGGTCATTCTTGTGCTCGATCGCAGTAGCTCGAATGATCCGGCGATCAACCTACACGCGCAAGAAAGAAATGTCACATACCATCTACTACAGCAGAATCCAAGAAAGAAAAACCTGAGGATAGAGCTTCTCGAGAGCTGCGCACGTGTCCATCGATCGAGGGAGAAACGGCAGCTCTGCGCAGCTGCCCAAGAACCCTAAAATTTCGAAGCCCTACAAAGAATATAATGCTCTTTTTGGCGCCACGTCAGATCCAATCCGGACAGTTAGTGCTTTCACCGCAATGGATGGCTGGGATTTGCCGTCAGCGAGAGCTAGGGTTCTTCTTTTTGGCTTCTCGGGATTGAGAGAGAGAGAGCTCGCGCTCGTCATGGCGGAGGTCGAGGTGGAGTACCGCTGCTTCGTCGGCGGCCTGGCGTGGGCTACCGACGACATCAGCCTCGGCGAGGCATTCAAATCCTTCGGCGATGTCATCGAATCCAAGGTACCGTGTTGTGATCCGGGGCGCATTTCGCCGAAATCTTGCCCCTAGCAGCGGCAGCTGTGCCAAGAGCCCGCGCTCGCGCCCGGATCGAGAGAATGCGGGCGTTCTTGCGCCGTGATTTCTCACCAGAATGTGTGCGCAGGTGATTAACGACCGGGAGACCGGCAGATCTCGCGGATTTGGCTTCGTCACGTTCCGCGAGGAGCAATCCATGAAGGACGCGATCGAATTGATGAACGGCAAGGACCTGGACGGGCGGAACATCACTGTTCACCAGGCACAGCAGAGGCCCGCCATGAGCAACGCCAACAAGTCGAGCCGCTATGGCGGATCGAACAACTACAGTGGTGGTGGTGGTGGCGGCGACCGTGGCTACACCAACGAGCGAGGCAGTGGTGGCTACAGCGATCGTGGCGGCTATGGTGGGAGGAGGAATGGTGCTGGTGCTGGTGCTGGTGTTCCTGGCGGTGGTGGCGGTGGCGGTCCCGAGACAGGGAATGGTGGTGGTGCTGCCGGCGGCGGTGGACGCCGCTATGGCGGTGCTCGATCAGATGGCCGCTCCGACGTTGACAATTGGAGAAGAAACGAGTAGTCCCGGATCGATCAAGCTCGACTTCCAAGCCGAGAAGAAACTTACGTACGCGTTCTAATTGCCGCTGTTGGTGTGATATGGTATGATACAACCGGTGGAATACAAAGGTATGGTCTCTCTTTCGATTTTCTGTCATCTCTTTGGATGGGCTTTACGCGATCCTCACGCTGTCTTCAAGCGAATAGCGGCCAGCTCCGACTCGACGTAGTCTCCGGCAAGCGTCGCGGGATAGTTCTTGGCTGCTTGGGCCGATGCGAAGTGGCCTAGGGGCTGTAAGATCGCGTCCGAGGCAATGTGGCCGAACACCTGCGCGAGAGTTGGATGTGACGATGATGAGAAGTGGAGAGTTCTTACCGTGGAGGAGACTCTCCACAGGCTGCGTCCGGCCTGCTTCGCTGCCTCGGCTGCTGCGATGGTCTCCTTGGTCACTATGACTTCGTGCATTCCAGCGCTACACTCGCCGCCGGTTAGCCACTCGAGCTGTGAATCCAGGCGAGGAGGAAAAAGAGCTGAGATGCTTGCGAGAAAGGATGGATGGAGCTTGAGTTACCTCTTTTCCGGCTTGGACGAGCAAGCATCCGGGAGGAACTCGCACGAGGAGCTTCTGGCCTTGCTTGAGCCAGATGTTGAGGCCGGGGAAGCGGCTTCTCCCGTGAATGGTGAGGAAGTTTAAGTCGTAGTGGTATCCGGCGAAGACGCTCCCTTCCTCGGTGAACTTGGAGAGATCGCTACCTGTAGGAGCCAGAAGATGAGGTCCCTAAGACAACGAAACTTAGGAGAGATGGAAAAGAAAACGAGGAAGTTTAGAGTTCCAGTGTTCTTGCGCTACCTGAGACATCAAGGATGTGAATGCGTCGGGAGGAAGGCCAAATCCAATCGCAGCCATCTCGGCAACAATCTATGCAAACGAAAGTTTTGGAAAGTGTCAAGGAAAGAAACGAGAAAAGAGAGGCTTTTACCTCCACAGCTGCGATCATCTTGCGTCCCCATCCATCCATAACTTCGATCCAGTCGGGGAATCCTTCCGGGACTACTGGATCAGCGTTAAACTCCTGCGAAGATCATTGGAAGTTTTAAGATGCTAGACTCGATCGAGATCTATCTTCAAAGTCCTTAGAAATGCTAGAGTCGATCGATCTCTCTTCGAGTACCTTGAATCGCGTGTTGGCTGGACGGGGGCCGACTCTCCACATGTAGCGCCATTTTGGATCGGCCCCTACGGGCATTCGAGGCTTCTCGGAGTCTGGGATTTTCTCCATGCGTGCTTGGAGATCTTTGTCCAGAGCACACCGGGGAACTTCCACTCCCTCTGGTGTCACTCCCACCTAGAAAAAATTTGAAATAGAATGATCGAGGAAAGAATTTCTAGCCTAGGATCGAGATCTACCTGGTAGTGTAGATGACGACGCTCTTGCTGCCGCTTGAATTCGTCCGCCATGCCGAAATATCGCTCCATCATGTTGAGGAATCGATCGTTGTCCTCGGGCGTGCAGCGCGGATCGCGAAGAACAAGGGCTCCGGCTTCTCGCAGGCATTTGGCGACCTCCAGGCAGGAATTCCTCACATTCTCGGGCAGGGGCTGTGATCCGCGCGCCTCGAGGTATGGCTCCAGCTCCACCACTGGAAGATCCATCCTAGCCCTACCCAAAATCGCAGTGAGCGGCAAAAAAATGTAGCAAGAAAACGAAGAACTAGGGTTCTTCACGGGAAATGCTTCTCGATGATAGGGTTTTGATCTCTCCGCCGGCGCCACACGATCGATCGAGAATCCCGGGTTCCAGGAGCTGCTCCTTCTCGCAGGAATCGCTGCTGACACAGAAATCGCCGCTATTCGAGAGAGTAGTCGCCGATACCGACCAGGTACGCGATCGATTCGTCGATCTTCTCCGGCAATGCAGCCGATCCAAGGATCTGGCACGGGGGAGGCAGATTCACGCCAGCATTACCAGAAGCAGCGCTCCTCAAGATCCAGTCGTGGGGAACTGGCTCATACAGATGTATCTCAAGTGTGGGAGCTTGATCGATGCCTCGCAGGTGTTCTACCAGCTGCTGGAGACGAGTGTGGTGAATCTGGTGGCCTGGACCGCGCTGATCGCGGCTTATGCCCGGAATGGGCAAACCAAGCTCGCGATCCGGCTCTTTCAGCAAATGCAGCTAGAGGGGAATTCGCCCGACCGGATCACTCTCGTGACGATCTTCGAGGCGTGTGGCAACCCCGAGAATCTGGAAGATGGTAAGAAGATCCACGCCTATCTCTCTTGCAACTCGGACGTAGTTCTTGGCAGCTCTCTCATCACCATGTATGGAAAGTGTGGGAGTCTAAGCGAAGCTTGTTTGATGTTCCAGAGCATGGAGGAGTGGAACACCGTGGCGTGGAACTCTCTCATGGGAGCTTTCATCCAGCATGATCGAGTGGAGGAGGCGATGGAGCTCTACTGGGAGATGCTGCAGTGTGGATTCTTGCCGAGTAGACCGACTTTCCTGACGGTGTTGGCGGCCATCTCTAGCCTCGAGTCTCTACGACACGGTAAGCTTGTTCACGACACTCTTGCTGAGGCTGGTCATGAGGATGATGTTGTTGTCCAGACAGCGCTGGTAAACATGTATGGGAAGTGCGGAAGCGTGGTGGAAGCAGTGGAAGTTTTCGACAGGATGCCCCGGCACGATGTGATACTGTGGAGTGCCGTGATCTCGGCTCACGTCAACTGCGCCGAGTACGAAGAATCTCTCAGGCTTTTCCGGAAGATGCAGCTCGAAGGGAACAGGCCAAACAACGTGACGCTGGTCAGTGTTTTGAGCGCTTGCGAGGGGCCGCAGGCACTGGAGACAGGGAAAGGGATTCACGAGTGTGTTGTGGAGGCCGGGTACGAGGGGGACTTGATCGTCGGGAATGCCATTGTGAGCATGTATGGGAAGTGTGGCAGCTTGGAAGACGCGTGGGATGTCTTTCACAGGGTGCCGCGGAGAAGTGTGGTGACTTGCAACGGGATGATGGGGGCTTGTGCCGTGCAAGGGGACTCGTCAGGTGCTCTCAAGCTCTTCCGGTATATGGTGCACGAAGGCATCGAGTTTGACAACATCACCTTCCTCAGTGCTCTCTGTGCGTGCTCGGGCACCTCGGGCTTGTCTCACGGCGAGTTCTTTCACGCTCGCATGCTGGAGTGCGGGCTTGAGCTGGACATATTCGTCGCGAATGCACTCGTCAACATGTATGGCAAGTGTGGGAAAGTAGAGGCTGCCGAGCACGTCTTTGAAGAGCTCCCAGAGCAAGATGTTCGTACATGGAACGCGATGATTCTGGCCTACGTCCAAAATGAAGAGGAGAGAAGCGGACTTTTGGTGTTTCGACACATGATGCAGAGTGGATACAAGCCGGACGAAGTTACCTTCGCGATAACTCTCAACGCTTGCTACCATCCCAGGTTCTTGAGGGATGTTCATTCTCTCATTTCTGAGACGGGGATATCAAACACAGTCGTTCAGAACGCGCTGGTTGTCATGTACGGGAGATTTGGTCTGCTGGAGGAAGGTTATCAGGTGTTTGAGAAGCTGGATCAGGAGAGCATTACGAGCTGGAACGTCATGATAGCCTCCTGTGCTCAGAGTGGACAAATGGAGGCGGCATTTTCTCTCTTCAGGGAAATGCAACACCAAGGAGTGGTTCCGAACAAGGCAACACTCCTCATCATGATCAATGGCTGTTCCACCTCAAGCGAGGCAAAACTTCTGCAGTGCTACTGGACAGACGAGCTGCTAGAGTCGCACAACATATTGAAGGTTGCTCTTGTGAGTCTCTACGGTCGATGTGGAAGCTCTCGTGAAGCTCTGGACATCTTTGGAAGACTGGAATCGCCGCCTACAGCGTGCTGGAACTCGGTCATCTTCGCTCATGTCCAGAGTGGGAGGGACTCCGAAGCGTTGAAGATGTTCTGGCGGATGCAGCAAGCCGGTGTTTGGCCAGACAAAACCAGCTTTGTGGCCGTCGTCAAGGCGTACTCCAACGTGGGGATGACAGAGCCGGAGATCGACTGGTTACGAGCAGTGATAGCCAACAGCGACGTGGAAGACGGAGTCCCCATTGGAAATGCTCTCATCAGCATGTATGGGAGGTGTGGCAGCTTTGGAAAAGCTCGAGACCTCTTCGACAGCATGGCCGAGCGAGACGCGGTCACTTGGAACACGATGATGAGCGTCTCGGAGCAACTGGAGCACGGGAGAGACTCCATCCAGCTCTTCCGACAGATGCTACAGGAAGGAACTCCTCCAGACAAAGTCACCATCCTCACCGTCCTCAACGTCTGCGCGAGCCTCCCAGCGCTGCAAGAAGGCAAAGCGATCTGCGTGTGGCTGGACCACACTCCACTCTCGGCGAACCAGATGATCGGCAACGCCATCCTCAACATGTACGCGAAGTGTGGATCCAGAGACGAAGCTCGCAGGATCTTCAGCGTGATGCAAGGCCGGGACGCCGTCTCCTGGAACGCGCTCATCGGGGCCTACGGATCCTACAGCCGGGGGAGGTACGCGTTCCAGATCTTCCAGGCGATGCAGCTCGAAGGCAGCACCCCGGACGCCGTGACTTTCACCACGATCCTGTCGGTGTGTAGCCACGGTGGTCTCTTGGGCGAGGCCGTCAAGTGGTTCCGGTGGATGAGAGAAGACTACTACGTGGAGGCCGAGACGGGGCACTATGGCTGCATCGTGGATTTGCTGGGACGCCTGGGACGAGTTCCAGAGGCCGAGGAGGTGGCCGAGAAAATGCCCGCTGGGACCGATCCGATCGTGTGGACGACGCTGCTGAGCGCTTGCCAGGTCCATGGTGAAACGCAGCGAGGGAAGAGAGCCGCGGAGAGACTGGTGGAATTGGATCCAGAGGTGACCTCCGCCTACGTTGTGCTATCCACGATCTATAGGAAGGAAGAATAATAAAAGCGTTCAATTGTGTGAAGTCAATAGAAGGCTCGTTGACTTACTAAAACCAGTCAACCGTAAGCTGACCAGTGGTCAATCCTCTTTTTGCTGATGGTCTGTGAACTGACAAATTCATATACAGACGTTTGCTCATTCTGGAAATGTTCTGGTCCAAGTGCCTCGGTTTGGGCTACTCATGTCTTGCGTACTATTGTGACTCGGTTGCGCTCAATGAAACCAATCACCATCATAACCCAGAATAGATGGCCATCGCCTCCAAAATACACTAGTCCTCGTTGTCAAGTAATTCGCTACGGTTTCAATCTCTCCACCCTGAGCCGTGTAGAAACGATTGTTCCCACGGTCCCATCCAAATGATAAGCAGCAACCTGGCCAGTGGTTTCAACGATTCATGAAAAGAGTTGCAAAACAAACTTACCCGACAACCGGAATTCAGTGCAGATAATTCGTGATTGCCAGAGAAATCCAGCCACTGAGGATCACATGAAGTATCTGTGACAAAGAACTCCCCCTAAGTACCATCCTCTAGGCATATATCCGGCCTCATGAAGTAGGATGCATTTACCATTGCAGCAGTGGCTTTGCATGTAGCTTCTCCATCTTTAACTACATTGTAAAGCTGAGAAGAATACTCTCGCATGCCGGGCTGGTCTTCGTTGAATGCTCCCCAGAAAGCGTCTCAAGTTGTATCTCCCCCATACTCACTAAAGGCGCAGTTTGTTGGCTGACTAAAATGGACACCTGAGATTTTAGCTGGAGCATCCTTCCATCTTGGTCCAATGCATTCATCACGCACAAAGTCTCCCCAGTGACGATCACAGTTTGTTGGGTTATGAAAGTAGACTTTTGCTGCACAGAAAGAGGAAATAGCAAATTCCACGCAAAACTCTTCAACATCGTTGGAAGCTGGGAGGATGCCTGTTGGCACACTCCACCCATCATTGACAAATTCTCCCCAATGCACACCACACTTGCCAGCTGAGAAAAAAACCAAAAGAACATAATGAGCATCGTGGATATTGAGAAGGAGAGAAGAGGTGATTTTTGAACATTAGATATTTACCAGTGGAGGGATTTGTCACCACATGTTTGTGATATTTTTAAATTTATGGATGACTGATTTACATTTGTGAGTTCATAGCTTTAATTCATTTCTCATATCAAGACATAACTCATTTTATAATAAACATAAGAAAAATCATCAATGATCAATAAAATTTTATGCAAGAAACAATAAATTTTACATGAACTATTAATGATAATTTCAAGAGAATGAAAAGCACAGCTAAAGTAGTACATAGTCCTATGGTATTGACTTTGATGGGACCATGGGAACAATTGTTTCTACATGGCACATGCTCAACCATTTCATAGTGAGCATGCCAGGATACAACATTTCGCTGGAGCTTGCCCCGTTGGAGCGTATGCCAAAACAGGGCATCTGGATGAGGAAAATCTGGTAGATGGGATGTTACGTGTCTTGGCTACGATGGTCAACCTCTTATCGGAAAGAGGTCTTGTCAGTGAATCAAATGTACTCGATTATATGTATATCAAATGCCCCTCTGGGACATGGCGCCCACTAAATCTCCTAATCTCTGTTCTTGTGGCATCGCAATGGTCACGCTTACGTTCCGTGAAGACAATGTAATCGCGAAGACAACATCGAGTACGTCATGCGCAGCCGGGGAATCGAACCCCGGTCAGTACCGTTACTATGATACCACTACACCAGCTGCGCCTTGACATTAACAAGACTTTTGCTCAATCCACATGGCAGTCTTCCACGAAGCGAGCTGGATTTTTTGCCAACACTCGGATAGCGTGCTGGTCGCTTGATGATTTCGTCAGGAGAGAATTCAAGGTGTGTCCAATTTGGAAGCACGTCTCAAAGAGAGAGAGACATCACTGGATTCACCCTCGGCAAGATTTCCAACGCTTGGCGTCTAGTCATTGATCCACAAAGATATATATATACTTGCAAAATCAAGAAGTGATTCGTGAGTGAGACGGGCGATAAGATCACTTGATCTTTCGACCATGGATTTGCCTCATTCGAACGTGGCGTTGCCTCGTTCCACCACGGCCTGCCTCCTGCCGTGGGGTGATCCAGATCTGGAGGTACTATGTTGTATAGATAACGAGAGGTTTTGAATTTGCAAAAATGCAAGACTTAAATCAGATTAAGATGTATAGGCAAAGTGCCAGCGCTCTATGATCTGGAAAACTTTTGAGAACTGGTCCCAGAGACAAAGAAAGAAGGATTGGCATGACAAGTATTTCGGTTGCTCACCAACTCTATCTGTAAGCTTCACTCACCCAACCTAAACTCCAATTAATCACCCCAAATCACATACTGTAGACAGGGAAACTGGCATCACAGACACAAGCCAAGTATGCAATGCCAGATTCATTGCCAAAGCCTCCAGCTGCTTCTAGTAGGAGCTTCTCGTGGGTGGCAGCAACAAAGTGGATCTGACACCACTTCTCTCTCCCATTTTTCCTTTAAAAAAATGCTATTGTCACTCACCAGCAGTTTACAAGCGACAAAATCGTTCCTTAGTGCCCTGTTCTTGTGATATCAATGCGCGCCTGGGTGGGGACCTCTTTCCTCATCGTTGAAAGAAAAAATCCGTCCGGGACGGTTTGCGATGGACAAGTGTGGATGGCTTCTTGTGCCGTCTTTGCAAGCTCTCGCATAAATCAAAGTTTTTCTATGGTGTTAGAGAGCTCTATGGTGACTATCAAACAATAATCTTATCTTACCTATACATAATTTGATCATGGTGGAAGAAGTCGCCATTCACAAAGACGGGTGAAAAGAGCATGCCAACGTTTCCCACATTGGCGTGATTCTAGGAGTCAGATGTCTTTAGAATATTCTCCGAGGGGACACGTCGACTGAGCCTTATCCTACGGGCATATACGCATGTTGGGCAATGTATATTCGCATGTACGGGTGTCCATATGTTCGCTGACACGTGTCCAGGGCTCGTCAGCCCTAGACGGTCGGCGGGTGGGGACCACGTCAGCCGTGGAAAAACCTTGGCTTAACCCCGCCGTTATCTTTATAACGGAGGAGCTTTAAGCCCCCTTGAAAAAGCTCTCTTTTCTTTCTCCTCCCTCACTCTCTTCTCTCTTTTTTTTCTTCTTTGTTCTTCGTTTTTCTTGGACTTTTTGATCGAAGATCATGGCTCGTCTCGCAGTCGGAGGTGCCGATGAGTACAGGCAACCGGATGCAATGAAGGGAGCTCTCGCGGAGTTCATTGGGACGTTCTTGTTCGTCTTCGCTGGTGTTGGATCCGCTATGGCTTTTGGTTCGTTCGCTCACCCCTCTCGCTCTATCTTGCTTCTTAAGCTATACCCTTTGATTGATCGGGGAAAAATGCGATGTTTGCAGCCAAGCTGGAAGGACCGATTCTCACACCCGCTGGCCTGGTGCAAATCGCGCTCGCGCACGGGATCGCCCTCTTCGTCGTCATCGCCGCCACCGCCAACATCTCGGGAGGCCACATCAATCCCGCCGTCACGTTTGGCCTCGCGGTTGGAGGCCACATCACCATCGCCAGGGGAGTCCTCTACTGGATCGCCCAGCTCCTCGGGTCAGTGCTCGCGGCTCTCGTTCTCAAGCTCACCTTCCTCCACGAGGTAACAAGCTTTAGTCGTCCGTGAGCCACCTTGACTAACTTGACTGCTTTGGAACTTCCAGAGTGTTCCCATTCACGCCGTTGGAGCTCACGAATCTCTGATCTCCGCCCTGGTGATCGAGATCGTCACCACTTTCGCTCTCATCTTCACGGTCTACGGCACTGCGGTGGATCACAAGCGTGGAGTCGTCGGAACCATCGCCCCCATCGCGATTGGATTCATCGTGCTCGCCAACATCCTCGCGGCCGGGCCTTTCAGCGGCGGATCAATGAACCCGGCCAGATCCTTTGGCCCAGCTCTGATTACTTTCAACTGGACGAACCACTGGATCTACTGGGTCGGGCCTCTCATCGGTGGTGGCCTTGCTGGGCTTGTTTACAACGAGATCCTCATCACTCCACCACCTCCAGAGGAATACTAGAAGCTCTCCGAGCAGCTCGAGATTGGTCGGCACGGCATGGATTGGATCGTTTCTTTGGGTTGATTTGCTCTGTTTGTTGATACTGTGTTTTCTACTCTGTTTTTCACCTCGATTTTTCCTCTTTTTTTCCCCCTCTTCTTCGTTTTACCCTTTCTTTTCCTGCGCTGTATGATTAGGGATTACAGTCGGAGCAAAGAGATCGTCGAGATTCCGCACATTGGAAATAAACCCAAGAAGCAATCGATGTCAATGGAAGTAGTTCTTTTCTCAATTGTGCTGTGCTCGTTGTTTCCCGCCAGAGTGCTATTTAAAAAAACGTCATAGCCCTAATGCACGAACACTATGACAAAAGTGACAAACACGTCCTGCTAGTTGTACACTGTGGATCTTGACTCCGGGGAAGACGATGGTTTATCGACCGGTTTGTGGCAGCGAGCGAGGAAAATAAAACGATGGCAAGGAAAAAAATGTGCTGGCGATGGAGATAATGGCCAGTCTTATCGCCTGTGGTGCTGTGATGAGAGACAGCTGTGGGACTCAGCAGTGATCCACGATCATTATCACAATTTTCGCTCGAGATCGTGGTCATCATAATGGTTTGTTTGGGAATTGGTACTTCCAACTCTTTTGCAAAATCATTGAAAACCAAGAACACGAAAGAAGATTCAGGGGAGAGGGAGAAATTCCTTCCTAGTATTCCTCTGGAGGTGGTGGAGTGATGAGGATCTCGTTGTAAACAAGCCCTGCAAGGCCACCACCAATGAGAGGCCCGACCCAGTAGATCCAGTGGTTCGTCCAGTCGAAGGTAACTAGAGCTGGGCCAAAGGATCTGGCCGGGTTCATGGATCCGCCGCTGAAAGGCCCGGCCGCGAGGATGTTGGCGAGAACGATGAATCCAATCGCGATGGGGGCGATGGTTCCGACCACTCCACGCTTGTGATCCACCGCAGTGCCGTAGACCGTGAAGATAAGAGCGAAAGTGGTGACGATCTCGATCACCAGAGCGGAGATCACAGATTCGTGGGCTCCAACGGCGTGAATAGGAACAGCCTAGATGTTCCAAAGCGAGAGAGTTTCCATGGGATCACAAGGATCAAAGTTAGTCCAAGCCAGTCAAGCGAGCTCGTCAGGGAGCGGCGACTAGAAGAGCTTACCTCGTGGAGGAAGGTGAACTTGAGGACGAGAGCCGCGAGCACTGACCCGAGGAGCTGGGCGATCCAGTAGAGGACTCCCCTGGCGATTGTGATGTGGCCTCCAACCGCGAGGCCAAACGTGACCGCGGGATTGATGTGTCCTCCCGAGATGTTGGCGGTGGCGGCGATGACGACGAAGAGGGCGATCCCGTGCGCGAGCGCGATTTGCACCAGGCCAGCGGGTGTGAGAATCGGTCCTCCCAGCTTGGCTGCAAGACAAGACGAAGTTTTGGTAAGTTCTCCTGCGAGAATCTAGCAGCTACACACCGAAAGCCATAGCCGATCCAACGCCCGCGAAGACGAACAAGAACATCCCGATGAATTCAGCGAGCGCGGCTTTCATTGCGTCGGGTTGCCTGTATTCGTCTGCCCCTCCCACCGTGAGACGAGCCATTTCGGATCGATCGAGCGATGAAAGAAAAAACAAGGGAAGAAAAACGAAGAACCAGAAAGAGAGATTGGCTTGGCCTCACAGAGATGGAAGATTTTTAAGGCCGGACTCATTCGTTGCTACCGGGTGACGTGGAGCCCACTGGCACCGCCCTAGCGACCCTGGGTCCCGCCACGTCAGCTGGACCAGCCTGCTGACTCACCGCCTGGACACGTGTCAGGCGCGAAGAGTTCGTAAACAAGTATATAAAGTCTCGTGTATAGTTTGCATTTGTGTTTGAGTTTGAGGAGGACACACGATGCGCTCGTCCGTGCGATTTGCTCTGCAAAAGAATCGAACACTTGTCGCTACCACCTTTGGGGGTTTGTTTGATCGATCAATCAATCAATGCACGACTTGATAAGGATGTTATATGAAATCAGGAAGGCTTTTTATCCTACATAAACAAGATGCCCCTTGAAGGCATTACGCTAAGGTTGTAGAATTATATAGACAGAACGGGCAAGCCTTTCTTTCTCACTTATTTGATCTCAACCAGTTGGTAAGCAACTTAGAACTTGACTAGCAACAAGGATTTCATCGGAGTACATTGAAAACCATGAGAGGACCCTCTTTGATACGACAAGCTACAAACAAAAATAAAAGATTCAGAAAGTCACAGTGCTTTTTCTGCCCGGCTGTTAATGCTCCAGAGTGCCGGCTTTTCCGTGACACCAAAGCACAACAAAAGCACAAATTAGTTTGAGTCATGCTTTACTTATAAGGGGTTGCCCAACCAATCAGAATTTTTTGTTTTTTTAAACCAGCTTTTCTTCTTGCATCTTCTTCTACCTTGTCTTTTTTAGTTTTTTCCTTGGCCTCAATGTGAGCAATGTATTCTAGATTAGTGAGTGAAGTTTCATAGGGAATAGAGATGAACCTCTACTTCTCTCTTGTTTGTGGTTGTTTTTAAGTTTGAGTGGAGAATGGCATTGTGAGTTGAGTTATAAATTCTTCCATTGTTGGCTCATGAGCTTCTTCCATTCTATAGTTTACATTTACAGCAATTGTAGCACTTAAATCATCATCATTATTATCATCTGCACTTATATCAAATATAAGTCTTTTCATCTTCATCTTTTTAAAGTTTTTTACTTGTGCCTTCTAAAGCTACAGCCATGTGAAATTTGGCATCCATAGTTGCACAATCGAAAAGCTAGAGTCCAGTTTTCTTAAAGCTAGCAATGATGTTTGCAAGAGTTAGAGCTTTGTCCAAGTGCTCTTCTCACCATTCCTGCTAAGATCTTTGTTGGAGTGTGTTTATGAAATTTTGCCTCCATGTACTCAGCATGGATGGCTTTGAATGCTATCTTGAAATGTTTGAAACAATATACATTAAGAGGTTGCATGTAATATGAAGTATGAGGTGGCATTATGACGATGTCAATTCCTAACTCGAATGCTTTCTTTAAAGTAGCAAGAGCCATGACCATCCATCACAATGCAAGCTCGATTTGTTAAAGAGATGCCACTTGGGATGACTTTTGCAAAGTGTTCAAGGAAGTAGGTAAGCCCATTATCGCTCATCCATGCATTGGCTTGTACTTACATAGATGCTCCAAGCTCACACAAGTCCAACTAGCTTGTTGCTCAATTATGCTCTTAAAATATGTAGTGATTTAGAAGTTTTTGGCCATTCGTAGCAATAGCACAAATGATTATTATCCTTTGATGTTCATTTGGAATGACACTAAAAATTGTACGAGCTTGTTTATATAAGTAACCAAAGGGAATGACTTGAATATAAAAAAAAAGGGCTCATAAATAATAATGCACCATTTTTTCCAATCAATTAAAGGTCTTGGGATATTTGAGGTTAAGCATTATTGAGTTTAAGTAATTTGCTTGTAAGAGAATGACTTGAGAAACAATATGTTAAGGTTTAAATATAAAAGAAAAAGGGTTTATAAATAAAAATACACCCCCTTTTTCAATCAGTTAAAAGTTTTAAGATATTTAAACAATTTTGAGTTTAAGTAATACTAAACTCCTAAGAAGTCCAAATTTAAAACTTGAGAGATGATCCGTTGAGGTTTAAATACAAAGGGAAAAGGCCATGAATAATAATGCACTTCTTTTTCCAATTAATTAAGGGTTTTGGAATATTTGGGGTATTGAGTTTGAGTAATATTGTTCCAAAAAGTTCAAATTTAAAAGATTACAACTTGTTGAATACCATATAACAGCCTTACTAGATCAAGTGTAAAATAAGGATTTTATTTAGGGTGATTTTAGTTAATTTTTGTTTCTTCTATAAATCTTTGTTGGGTTTTGTTAAGTACACCAAGAAACATTTAAGGGTTTCTAGCTCATTCAATTAAGGTTTGAAGTGATCTAAACTCTAGAATTATAAAAACAATTGAATGTGACTAGTAAAATTGGTTGGTGCCACATCAAATTGTTGGATGCCCAATTGGATTACACTCTATGGCATTTGTAAAAACTTGATATTAATCAAGACTACAGTTCTCATCTTAGTTTTTTTATTTGTCTTCCAGTAGTTGTAATATTACCTTTTTGTCACAATTTTGCAAAAAGTTTAATTCTTATGATTCTAATATTGCATATAATTCCAATATTTTTAAAAATTGGTACCTGGCTCTATTTCCACATAGTCATAGATCTAATCAATGTTTTGTGCTTAATTGCAAGGTTTACAATATTGTTCTATGTTTAAGATTTTATTATACTCTTTGGTTCGCTTAAGCAAAACTTGTAGGTATATCTCAAATATACTTAGATATTCTAGGATATTCTACCATCTAACAGTTGTTATTTATTTAGATTAATCTTGTATTTAAAATTTATAAATTTTTGTAAACACTTTCTAGTATATTCTTATTTATTTTATGGTTGATATGCAATAATATTATCATTTATTTATAAATTATAAACATGTTTATAATTATCAATTAATTGAATTATTCAAAAATACTAAGTAAGAATGACACTACTATTAAGCAAACCAAGTGTTACTGTATGCAACACATAACAAATTATTTTTCTAACTTTTGTAGTTGCATATATGTAATTAGTGTTTAATGCTAATATTTTCAATTAGTATAACTCTATTTAAGATAAATACACCAAGAATACACCTATATTATCTCATAAACAATGTCAGATTAGCATCCAAACCCACATCATATTAACATGAAAAGTATTTTGCTTAAATAAAAACTTCTTTAGAGATTGAGTTGGAGTTTCATTGTATTTTATCTTATAAGTCACTTTCTGTTTGTGTTTGAACAAATTTAATTAATATTAATTCTTAATTAAAACCAATAATATAAATTTCTAATAGATTTGTTATTTAATTTATTTACATTATTTAATCATGTTCAATTGTGAGGGCCAAGTGTACGGCTACGATGCCGTATACTAATATTAGCGTAGTGGATTTTGGTAGCCGTCGGATTGGTTTCAATCCGGACCACTCGCTCCTGTATATAAGCTAGGGTTTTTGGGTTAATTGATATGCACATTTCTGTATTCCCTTTCCATATTCCATGCACTCACATTGGTGGAGGTGAGGGGCACCTTTGATTGTCCCTGGGGAGTGCTTGGATTTGGGATTTCGGTTTAGATCTAGCTTTTGCATTGTCTAGATCTAGCTTTTTCCATTTCCTTTCTTTTGTTCTTTCCTTTCAGGATTTTGGTTTAGATCTAGCTTTTTGCATTGTCTAGATCTACCATTTCTTTCTAGC